CAGTCTGTTAAAGAAATTCCTCAGAAGAAAAAGCAGAAGAAAGTTTCTGTTAAGGCTAAAGAAGAAAAGGCTGAAGGAGCCAAGAAGAAAAGGCCGGAGAAAACTACTTGTTAGTGAAACCTCAATATTTTACTTGGTAGTATTGATTTAGATACTTGGTAGTGTTGATTTGGCTTTCTAGGCCTAGGGAAGTAGGGAAAGAATGATTTTATCAACCTGTAAGCAGTTTAGTAGTGTTGATTTGAATCGAAATTAGATACTTAGTTTGAATCAAAATTGGATCTTTGTTAGTCTTTGAATGATGTAAATAATTAATTTAACAAGAGGCTACCCTTTTGATTATGGTGACTTTTGTGGTGGTTATATTAAATCGAAATTGGATCTTTTTTAAGTTTTTACTTGAAATACTTTGTCATTTATACCTAGCGTCTATTTGAAATATTTGCTCATTTTCAAATGAGCAATGAAATATTTGCTCATTTGATAAATGAGTAAAGAAATATTTGCTCATTTTTCAAGTGAGCAAAGAATTGATTGTTCATTTCACAAATGAGCAAAGAATGCTTGCTGATTTAATGAATGATTAAAGAAATGTTTGCTTATTTAATTTGACAAATGAGAAACTAAGTTGTTGCTCATTTATTAAATTAGCAACTAAGTTTTTGCTCATTTGACAAATGAGCAACTAACTATTTGCTCATTTGCTAAATGAGCAAAAAATTGTTTGCTTATTTTACAAATGAGTAACTTATTATTATTTGCTCATTTGACAAATGAGAAAATAATTGTTGCTCATTTATTAATTCAGCAAAGAAATGTTTGCTCATTTGACAAATGAGCAAAGAAATGCTTGCTCATTTGACAAATGAGCAACTAACTATTTGGTCATTTAACAAATGAGCAACTAATTTTTGCTTATTTATCAAATGATCAAAATATTGTAGGTTATTTATCATTGATTTGCAACCAAAGATTCATCATTTGATTCAATGATAGAATCAATTGCTGCAAGTTCATTCAATAGCTAATTTGCTCATTAAATTATTAGCAATATAAAATTAAAAATATATTATTGAATATAAAATTCAACAAAATTTCTATATGTTCAATAAATAATGAGGGCATGTGCTAAAAATATTAAATCTTATATGTATATAAAAGTATCATTACACTTTTTTTTGACAATTTCTAATACCATGATGACTCCATTCACCACAACCTCTGCATAATCTCTTCTTTTTCGGTTTTGTTCTACAACCTTTTCTTTTTCTCCCTTTAGCCTTTTTGCACTTCTACCTCTTGTTTCAACTTTTGACACATCAAACTCAGTCCCTTTCTTATTTGAAGTCTCTTCATTTGATACATGAACTCCTGTCCCTTTATTTTTTAAAATTTTTGGAGGTTTGACAAATATTTTAGTTGGCACACTAGCTCCAATCAATAGCTCAATGTCTTGGTTTTTGTTTTTTTGCACTTCCAGCTCTTGTTTCATTATTTCTTGCAATCCTCTTAGCTTCCAAATCCTTTCTTAATCCTTAAAAATTTATCACAAGGTCTTGAATATCTTCAACATTACCTTCTGCCAAACTTACACAAGTGTGTATCTATGATCATAAATCATTTAACAATTTTTTCTTGTCAATTATATTAGCACATTGCTCCAACAGATTTCCTCCTAAGTAAAAAATTGGTTTCTTCAGTGCCATATTAGTCCATCTGTGTAGTATATACTACTCAGGAATGGTTTCAAACCTTTTTGCTTTCCAAACCCAAATCATATGTTTACACAAAATTCCTTGCCTATAAAACAGCTTGCAAGAACATGTGGTGTCATAGTTAGTTGGATTAAATACAACAAATGTTCTAGTCTGATTTCCTTCACTTACTTTTGCAACTTCCAGTCCAATTACTCTCTTCAATTCATCAACACCACAAATAAAACACACACACACACACAGACACACACACTCACACAGACACACACACACACACAAACACACACAAACACTCACTTACTCACAATTAAAACTGAAATTAGATCTTAAATAAGAACTGTAATCAGTTTCTGAAAACAGAACTGCAAGCAAAAGAAGGAGGGGGCAGGGGGATAGGTTTGTGCAGGCAAGTGAAAGAAGGGGGTGGGGTTGGTGTGCAGTCAACAAACCAAGAAGGGGGTGGGGCTTGTGTGCAAGCAAGTAGCTCAAGGAACTCATAATATGTCATCAATGCAATAGAATCGAAAATTATCTGAACAATTGAAAATTCTCAATTACTAAAATCGAATATTATTTCTTAATTTTTGATGATGAGTTTAATATGAGATCATTAGAATCACTATCAAGTTTTTCGTTGTATTCATGAAATTCGAAAATTTTCAATAATTGATGCAATTCGAAATTTTCAGAGCAGTAAAATCGAAATTGAAAAGATGAATAAACCTTGATAATTATCGAGCCTTCAAATTCTTTAATCGAAATTATTCGTACTTGTGAAGAAGATAAAATTGAAATTGTCAAACTTTTAAATTGATTAATCAGTCGCCATTGAAAATTATGGAGCTTCCTTGTGCAGAGAGATGCCAGGGTTTAGTCGTATCACCTAATCAAAAGTAATTCCTAAAACCACTAACTAAAATAGATAGGGAACACTACTAGAAAACAGGACATTTCCGACGGAAAAATTCCGTCCGAAACACCCTGAAATCCGTTGAAAAACACTGTTCCGACGGAATTTCCGTCGGAACGTGATGTCGGAAGACCCTTTGTAGGAAAAACGGCCATTTCCGTCGGAACAGTGTTTTCCGACGGATTATATCTTGTCGGACCCTAGTTTGACTATAATCGTAAGTCCGTCGCAAGCTTACGACGGAAACTTTTCCGTAGGAAGAAGAGAATCTTCCGACGGAATATTCCGTAGGAAAAAGAGAAGCTTCCGACGGAATATTTAGTAGGAAGCTAAACTCCTTCCGACGGAATAGTCCGTCGAAGGTGGTATATTCCGACGGAATATTCCATCAGAAAAGCCAATAAAAAAAATAAAAAAAAAAAGCCCACACCTGCCCCACCCAGACCCACCCCCGCCACCAGCCCACCCCACAGACCCGGACCACCACCCACCCCACAGAAACGGACCACCACCCACCACCCACCCACCCCACACAGACCCCCCCATACACCCACCACCCCACACAGACCCCCCTACCCCTCCATACACAGCAAACCACCACCCACCCCACACAAACCTCTCCATACACCCACCACCCACACATACCCCCCCCATACACAACAAACCACCACCCACCCACCCCACACAGACCCCCCATACACCCACCACCCTTAACCCCACCGCCACCCCGTAACCCACCACCCCCACCCCACCACCACCACCCACAACTAAAACCAAATTAACTCAAAAAATCCAAAAAAAAAAACAAATTCACCCAAATAAACGCAAAAAATCAAGCAAATTAATCCGAAAATTAAACAAGAAAATCAGAAATTAAACAACCGAAATAAAACCCAAATAAACAAAATTATATTAACACAATTTATTTATAAAATACCGAAAATTCAAAAAATCGAAAATTAAACAACGAAAATAAAAAAAATTATATAATTACACAATTATAATTACATTCAAAATTAACTACATCTACACTCTAACCTAAATTAAAAGATCTACAAAAATAAAAAAACTTGAAATATGTGGCTGGCGACGGTGGTTGTTGCGGTTGATGTTGCGGCTGATGTTGCTTGTTGTTGACGGTGACGTGCGACCCCCTTTTGTTGATTGTTGTTGTTGTTGTAAAAGAGGAGATCAGAGAGGAAGAGAAGAGGAAAGAGGAGAGAGAAAGGGAAAAGATCGAGGAGAGGAGAGGAGATTAGAGAAGAGGAGAGGAGATTAGAGAAGAAGAGGAAGAGAAGAGGAAGGAGGAGAGAGAAAGGGAGAAGATGAGAGGAGAGGAGAGAGATAGGGAAAAGAGGCGGAAAGAAGAGGATTAGGTTTCCCAACGAAATTCCGGGTTTTATGTTTTGTTTTTTTATTTTTTTTTATTCTTATTAAAGGCTTAAAAATTTCCGGTTTTTTTTTATTTTTTTTATATATATATTTGGGTTTTCCGAGGGAATATTGCGTAGGAAATTTCCGACGGATTTAAATTCCGTAGGAACCTAATTTTCCGACGGAATATTCCGTCGGAAGCCTATTATTCAGAGGGATTTAACTTCCGTCGCAAGAATTCCGACGGATTTTCCTTCCGTCGTAACGAACCTTTTCCGACGGAATGTTCCGACATACCCTAATTTTGTCGGAAAGTTCGGATTTTCCGACGGAATTTAGGTCCGTCGGAACGATTCCCTCGGAAAACTGCCTATTTCTAGTAGTGGAAGTAGGGTCGAATCCACGGGGAAATAATGTTCTTTTATTCCTAATAAATTATTATAATCTAAATTATCAAGTAACAAGTATGAAATTATGTGAATTAATCTAAGGGGACTAATTAAACTGAGCAAATAAGACTAAGAGAATATCAATAAAATAAAAACATAGGGCATAAGTTCACCAATGAATAATATTCCGGGATGAAGGACAACAATCAATTATCAATGCATAAATTAACTAGATTATAAAGGGCTTTCGCTCCATATTATAATCATAGAATTAACCTAGCGGTATTAAATCGCATCTCTCGTATCTTGACTTAACCATTTATAAATTAACCTGCCTATTAAAACTAAGCCTAAACATCAATTCTCATCTGTCGTAGTGTGATATAATTTTATTTTTATTTTGTAATTACGTATTTTTCATCTTATTTTGTAATTAGAAATAATTTTTTTCTTTTAATTTTATATAGTGTTATCGTACATGCACAAGACTTAACCTAGTTATATTTATTAACCATTACTAAAATAAAACATTGCTGACATCATCAACCCTCAAATTATCCTACGTGTCATTCTAAAATTAAAAAATTTTCCTCCATTTTCTATGTGTGATGTCATCATTTATTTTAATTTTTTAACCTACACTATACATTTTTCTAACAGAAAAAATTACCACTCCTTTTTACACAAACGATAAAACTTTATTTTATGCATGATAATAAAAATTAATTAAATCGTGCAAAGCAAGAGTCTAATCTAGTAAAGAACTAAAAGTGAAAATTATTTTCCTCAATACAAAAATATAAAAAAAGAAAAAAAATGAAAATTACCACGTGTCACATAGTTCTTAAAAATTCGGTCTAAAAAAAAATACAATGCAATTTTACGGGATGTAGGGAGTATTTTTTTTTTTAATAGGTTTTTCATTTTCAGCTAAAATCTTTTATTTAATTTTTTTGGACAAAAATAAAGTCATTGTTAAACAATTTCCTCTTTTTATTCCTACAAAATCAAAAAATTACCCACATAAAAACATGATTAATTTTCATATTTTAAGATTTTTTTAACCATACCCAATTAATTCAATTCTGTAATAAAATAATTATTTTCCAGATGGGGAACACAAGCTCAGGGCCCACAACAACTAAGTCCAGTTTTTTCGATTCAGTTACCGCCGCCGTGTGGCGTCCCCGTGCGCCGGGAAACACCCTTCCTCCTCCCGTCACCACCACCACCACCGAAAAAAATTCCGACACCAACCTCAACACCGACAAAAATGCCGACAATTACAACGTTAACACCGACCAAAACTTCGACAATAACAACGTTAGCAATGATCTCATCCAAAACTCAACCCAAAAGGAAATTACCAATCCACCCTCCCCCAAAACACCCACCACCACCGACAAGAAACCACCACCACCACCACCCGGCACGACCCACCACGTGCGGCGGATTTCCAGCATGGGGTTACAACTAGAATCTGTTCTTGGTCGGAAAACCGGCAACCTTAAAGACACCTACATTCTGGGCAGGAAACTAGGTCAGGGTCAATTTGGTACCACCTTCATGTGCGTTGAGAGGAGCACAGGTAAAGAATTTGCGTGTAAATCGATTGCGAAGCGGAAGCTAACATCTATGGAGGACATTGAGGATGTAAGGAGAGAAATTCAGATCATGCATCATTTAGCAGGGAACCCTAATGTGATTAACATTGTTGCCGCGTACGAGGATGCCGTGGCGGTCCATGTGGTTATGGATTTGTGTGCTGGTGGAGAGCTTTTCGATAGGATCATACAACGTGGACATTATTCGGAACGAAAGGCGGCTGAGTTGGCAAGGGTTATTGTTGGGGTTGTTGAGGCTTGTCATTCTTTAGGGGTTTTGCATAGAGATTTGAAGCCTGAGAATTTTTTGTTTGTTAATAATGATGAGGATTCTGCTTTGAAGACTATTGATTTTGGTCTTTCTGTGTTTTTTAAACCAGGTATTTTGTTTGACTGTTGGATTACATTATTGTAGTTTGATTGTGTTTGGGGATTGCGTGGATCGGGTCACAATAAAAGCTAGTTTTGGTATTACAAATTTGCTTAGTGTAAATGTTATGAATGGGTTTGTTTCATAATAGTGCCATGTTATTTGAAGTGGTTAGAGTAGTTTATTATTCCATTGTTATTTGGGGAGTGATTCGAGTGATTGGTGTTGCATGGACAGGGTCTGTAATAAACTTATTGTTTATCCACGCATAAAAAAAAAAAAAAAAAAAAAAAAAAAAAAAACCCTTTTTAAGTTCGAATGGAGATTTTGTAGTGATCTAAGTTGGTTTTGGAATTTAATATGCTAAATTTATTGTTATGATTTGGCTTTGTATATCAATTTGCTACGGTATTATTGGAATAAAATATGGGCTATTTGAAGTGCATGGCATTTGGGCAGTGATTCTACATTGAAACGGCTCTTGGATCAAATCGAAGTAGTTTATATATAATGTTATAACTTGAGTTTTTATTCAAATAATAATTGGCTTTTGCACTCTTATGATATTAACTAAAGTAGGCCTTGCATAAGGCAAGGCTATGGTGAGATAGGGGTGGCTTTTTGTGGGATACAAGTGTGACCTTTGTGACTGATTTTATGGGTTATAGGCTTAGTTTTTAATAGAATATGGGGTGATTGGGATCATCATATATATGAATCTGTCAACGTAACAATGGGGAAAGTAGGAACTAGCTTGATCATCGAGTCTTTGAGAGTTGTTATGAACTATGAAGCCACTTATGAAGATCTGGTATATAATTTTGTCACCAAAAGACCTTGCTTACTGATTCTTGGGTCCCTGTATTGGAACTAGCCATTGTTTCCCATAGTCATCACCTTGACACTAGCACAATGACCCTTTGTTTTTCCATAAATTGACATTTGAGCACGTCTATTGATTGTTGGTTATACAGGATATGGATTTGACTCTTCAGAGGTCATAGCAATGTGCCTCATCATCAATGTCATTCTTTCTTTGTCTATGAGTGTGTTCGACGTCCTGTCTTCCCAAACTATATTATTGCATTGTTGGGCTACCATACTCGCAGCAACTTATCAGGCAAAGTTTCCAAACCCCATTCCATCTTGTTGTAATCTCATAGCTAGCTGTGCTAAGACATGAATGTTGCTTAGTAGAATCAGTGTTTTGGGCAAAGTTTCCAAACCCCATTCCATCTTGTTGTAATCCCATAGCTAGCTGTGCTAAGACATAAATGTTGCTTAGTAGAATCAGTGTTTTGTTGATTTAACATGGCGTAAACTCGATGATTTCTATAAAGTGATATGTATACATTGAGGAATAGGATTTGGGAGGAAGTTCTTGTTCTTTTACAAGTTCTCGATAATTTGGTAGTCAAGAATCCTCAAGATGTCTTTGTTTGGTGGAATATAATACACTAAAATTGCTTAGTTATGCCACTTTTAATTGTGTATGTTGGACCCCCTTCTGTGTGGGAGCCCCATTAGCTACCATGGGTTAGTGATTCGATGGTTAACTTAGTTTATGATGTGAGATATCTAATAAAAGGTTTATGATGCAGGTGAAACATTTACAGATGTAGTGGGAAGTCCGTACTATGTGGCACCTGAAGTTTTGCGGAAACTTTATGGTCAAGAATGTGACGTTTGGAGTGCTGGTGTGATCATCTATATATTGCTTAGTGGTGTGCCCCCATTCTGGGATGGTTGGTATTTCAGCTAAACCTATTTCTCGTTCTATATATGCTTACCTGCATTAAATCTGGCTCACTTGGTGCACTACTTTGTATTTGATTCAGAAACGGAGCAAGGAATATTTGAGCAAGTTATGAAAGGTGATCTTGATTTTATATCTGAACCATGGCCTAGTATCTCCGATAGCGCTAAGGACCTGATGAAAAAAATGCTTGTAAGGGACCCCAAGAAGCGGCTGACAGCTCATCAAGTTCTTTGTGAGTATTATGATTTACATGCTGAAACTTCTTGTTTGTAATTGGTGTATGTTCATGTCAAATTAGAAAATTTACACAAAAAATGTGCTAGTCCTAAGCATTCACAAAGCTAAAGGTAATTATTTGCAATAAGTAGTCAATTCACCAACAGTTAAATAGGTACACAGAAAAATTCTGTAGTCTGTATTAAGGACTGGACATAATACCGGAAGTAAAGAAAAAGTTCAAATTAAATTAAACTAATGATTTGGTTTGTACCTCTCTTAATTTCATGCGTTAACATAGGCAGACTTTGTTATTGGTTGTAGTAAGCATTTACTGTCAGCAATAATGAATGAACCTATTGTCAGATTTTCTCTCAGAAAAATATGGTAGCAGCAGATCCATGGAAATATCCTGGTGGACAGACTATGAGGTGTAATCGAGAATCTGGATTGCCCATCTAGACTTTATTATATTTTATATGATCTTACCGTTGTCTACTTCACACTTCTCTGTTATATTATCTTGTTAATAGAATGTTTGTAAATCTTATCTTTATTACTTTCATCTGTCTCTGTTATTCAGTGTGAGAAGATTTGCTCCATCAAATAATCGTGACACATTTCATAGTTTTGCATCATTTATAAATAGAATTATGTTTTCAATATAAATGTTTGTGAATCAAATATTTGCTGGTACATCGTTCTCTGCGATTCGATGGTCATATTTGACTTTTAGAAATTCTTGCTCTATCAAATAGATTTGCTCTTGCTTACTTGTTTGTCTCAGGTGTAGGTTTTTTGCTTTACTAGAGAAATTCTTAATAGTTGAGCTATATGATTTTCCATCCATTGTCTAGATCTTGTCAAGGTGCATGTTCTTGATGAAATTTTTCATTATCACTATGTGGCCAATAAGATAGCTGCCTTACAAGGCCCTCTTGATTTAAATAACTCATCAGACTGTCATGATAAATAATCTGTACATGTTTCTAACAACTCCTCTACCTGTTAACATGGTAAATTGAATAGTTGAATTACTCCCAATAATGTCTTTACTCTACTGTCTTGCATCTATTGATTCAAAATCTTGTTACCTTTAAGAACCAGATAAATTATTGCCTAGTGAGTGAGGACTATTTTTGCTATTTTTTCCTGTGTGTTTTAAGCATTTAGAGATTTTCCTACTTTCTAATCCTCATTGCATCTCAGTCTTTTGAATCTGGTGGTTTGGTTAGGACATCATACTTGTGTTGTTTTTCCTTCTGTATAAAATCTTGTTATATTCCAGTCTTTACTCTTTAGACCTTGTTTGTCTTTCACTCTTTCCTTATTATTGCTCGAGTCCAGTGATCTTGTTTATACATGTATCAATGTAGACATTATCGGTCACACTAATCCTGTTAATATCTATCAGTAGGTAAAAAATAAAATAAAATAAATAAGGCATCTTCTTACCTTTTACATACCTCAATATAAGGTTTCAGAATTGAGAGGCAAGGTTACAAAGGATGAATAGAATGTGCAAGTTTCTGTTCCACAAAATAAGAACAAAGAGAAAAAGTACTAGTGGAGCAAGAGTCACTGCATATAAGATGACTTATTTTCCTAGTTATCATCTGTACATGTAACCAGCTTGATCACCAGAAGTAATTTATTTACTTTTTATCTTGTCTTTGCTAGAGAAAATCTCTTGTAAAAGAATTTTAATTAGTGTAATACGGTGGGTGGTACTATAGTTGATGATTATACTTGCATATAGAATTATAATCTTCGAGCTTCTTGTGTACAGGCCATCCTTGGGTTCAGGTTGGTGGTGTGGCTCCTGATAAGCCTCTTGACTCTGCTGTTCTTTCTCGTTTGAAACAATTCTCTGCCATGAACAAGCTAAAAAAGATAGCTATAAGGGTATGTTCTGATTTAGGATTCCAACTATTCTGCCTGGCTAATTAAAACTGATGTGTCACAAGCTCAAATGGGATTTAGCCCATGGTAGTGGTACTATGCATAATGTTAATTGAGCATGTCATGCAAGTCGGGCTATCTGAATGACTATGAAATATTTCCACTTTGTACGCCACTACATCTTGATGATAAACTCATCAACATCACCATAATGTCTGAAAAGGTTCATATTCTTAACGAGTTAAGGGAAGGTAGTGGCAGACCTTTGAATTTTCACTTCCAATAACAGCAGAGAGAATGTTTCCATAAAAAATATTAACCGAAATGCAACTGACGACTCCCCAGTGCTTGCAGAGCATGTCATTTGCATTTTTAGGTTTAAGTAGCTGCATCAACTTCAGCATTAGAACAATATTCAGGCCAATTAGAATATACTCTTCCACAATAAGTTCCTCCTTTTCAAAATAGTAGAATCTTTTAAAGACTAATGTAGAAGTGGTATTTGGACATCATTAATCTATATATATAGCTAATTAAGAGAAAACATGAAATATTAAAATGAACCTCAACAGTTGGTAGTACGTATAACATCATAATAGGGCATAGTCTTACAAAACTACCAAGCCCATTAAGATGAGGTAATGTTGGTATCATATTCATATGTCAATACCAAAAAATCACATAGGAATATTTTGATTGAATTATTCTTCTCCAAGATGGCTTTAATTCATAATCATCTTTGCAGGTTATTGCAGAGAACCTTTCTGAAGAGGAGATTGCAGGTCTGAAAGAAATGTTTAAAATGATAGACACTGATAATAGCGGACATATTACCCTTGAGGAGCTGAAAAAGGGATTGGAAAAAGTTGGTGCCAATCTCAAGGATTCTGAAATCGTCGGGTTAATGCAAGCAGTAAGTTGTGCTAAATTCAAATTTACACATAAGCAGCTCTTCATTGTCTTCTTTTCCTTCTCCAGTCATTGTTATTGGCGATGTTAAATGAAAATGTCCATTTTCTGTCTACATTTGAATGTCTGCTAACAAGCATAGATTATTAGATTCCACTCTATCTATACTGTTTTTTAACATCACCAAAAAGCTGAAGTCTGAAGTGATTGGCTGATAGGTTATGTGTTAATTAGAGAAGATGCTTAAATCAGCGAAGGATGCAGCTTTTAGTAATAGGCAGGGAAGTTCTATTTTAACTAAATGATTGTCCATAGAAAGCCTCTTGCAGACCAATCATTACTGCACAGTGCATATACATACATAAAACCCTTTGGTGTGACCAAAACCTAGGCTGTGACAATTCCTATTGTGTATTATGTCAACATAACTGTTTTGTATATATGTATTGGCAATCACTGGGGAGGGTGGGTTAGTTTGGTGCGGCTTGGAGATGAAGATAAGCTTCTAGAGAACATTGCCAATATCGTGTTGTCAACATGCTTTTGAAATGTTCTTAATCCCTGGTTATTTAGTTTGATCAAAATCCCACATGGGTCTAGGGTTTATACATCCTACCTGTATAGTTAGTAAAGAGGCTCTTTGTGAAATAATATTTTGTTTCTGATGGTATGATATATATATAGATAGAATTAATGGCCTGGCCAGATTCTGCAGTATACTTACGAACAAAACTAGATTCAATCTAATGTGTTCGAGAGCACAATATAAGCTGCTCTTTGTGAACAAATTATTGCATTCTATATCATAACTTGTGGATCAACTTCACTATGCCTCTGCTACAGGGATGAGTAGGGGAGAGGAAATGTGTTTACATCTTTGATTTGGGTACAAAAAGTTGAGGCGTTCTGTCCTACGCCATAATAGAAACCTTTTTTCCAGACATCTTATAAAATTTTTTAGGGCGTCCACAATAAGAGGTTTGTCATTGGGTTTGTGGGAACAATTTAGAGGTTTGTTGACAAATCTCTTATCGTGGGAAGAGCAAAATGAACAACAAGTTTGTTTATACAAACCAGTTCATTTTGCTCCAAATGGCCCACTTTTACCTTTTTAATGTTTTTTATTTTTGTTTTTTAAATAAATCTTGTTGGGGCCCACTTTATTTTTTTAACATTGAAGAGACAATTGATCTCTATAATTGCATGCATGGATACGAATGGGTCATTGTGTTTTCAACTTATGACAACTCCAATACTCCATGCATGCCTCAACTTACGACAAATTGACAACTCCAATACTCCATGCATGCAAAGTACGTATGTTCATTTACAGTAAAGTTATATTCATCCACAGACATAAGTATGGTATACAAAGTATTTTCATTTCGTAACGTTACAAATTCAAGTGTTAAATTTTTTTGTACAGAAATATGACTAATTAATTACATAATTTGTATAAATACACAAAAGTTCGTATGACTAAACTAATTGATGAAACATATAAATACACAAAGGTTCGTATAAAAGTTGTTTAAAAATATAGTAGCTGATTTATCCTTAGATACTTCAAACTTTAATCAATTTTTAACCAAATTTCATGCTTAAATATTTAATACATAATTAATCAATTTCATAAAGTAGTAATTATTTTATTTAACCAATGATTTTCTATATTTTTTGTTTGGATAAATTTAATAAGTTGTATAGACAGTGGGTCCCATACATAAACCTTTAAACAGGTTTTTCTATTGTTGATGAAAGGTTTGTTAACTGAGGGGTTTGTATGATGATGATGTGGCAAGTGAACAAATCTCTTGGAGGTTTGTTCTATTGCTCATGCCTTTATACTTCCTTTGTTCTCTTTTAATTGTAATGTGTGGGGATACACAATTTTCAAGGAGATCAGATAGATAAATAGGTGGATCCCATCTGTTGTGGAGAGAAATAGTCCAAATAGAGTGAACCTTTGGCCAAATAAAGTAATTGTGCAATTGTTTTGCAACTTTCTAGAAATAATACATTGCGATTCAAAGAGAACGAAGAAAATATCATACAACTTTAAACTCCTAGAAAATTGAGAGCATTATGTCATTTATTGTAGTTAAAGCTTCATGCTATGCAACTTGACATGGAGCAAATATATGACTACGATGGTATGACTGTATGGTAAAGATGGCTTACATGGCTATTTCAGAACCAAAATTAATCTTTTCTTATTGCAGGCGGATGTTGACAACAGCGGCACAATAGATTATGGCGAGTTTCTGGCTGCAATGCTCCATCTAAATAAAGTGCAAAAGGAGGATCACCTTTTTGCTGCATTTTCATACTTTGATAAAGATGGGAGTGGCTATATCACTCCGGATGAGCTCCAACAGGCTTGTGAGCAGTTCGGTTTGGGAGATGTGCACTTGGATGAGATGATCCGTGAGGTTGATCAGGATAATGTAAAGTCTTAATCATCCCTTTGTATATGTTTATCTCTTCCATTCGGCATTATGAAGGAAAATATCAGGTAGTTATACATATTATCTTAAAGTGTAAGAGAGATCTTATAATACATTTCTCATTCATTGCAGGACGGACACATTGACTACAGTGAATTTGTGGCCATGATGCAAGACACTGGCTTTCCATTGAGGCAAAGGGATTGGCTCATTTGAAAACTGGCTAGCTCTCAAATTCTGATCCTGGTAAAATAAAAAAGTTGTTATACATATATATCATGTAGCTTCTTGGAAAATTGTTTTGTTGATATTTGTAACAGCACAGTGCGTTTTTGTTGTAAATCTCAATCCCAAAGGTTTGTAGAGAGAACAAGGAAAGATGAGCAAGAAATAGTTCTACAATTTTTCTTAGATTTTAATGTAATTTTCACAAGCTGAAATAGTTTTTCACATTTTTTTTGTTCGTAGTCTTTGAATCTTTTTTGCCAGCTAGAAATTTGCTGAAGATTCAGTTTCATTTTAATTAGTCTTTCATCTTAACATTAAGACCGCTTTTATATTTCACATCTTAGAACTTTATGGCAACACTTATTTACTATATAAGTTCAAATGTGGTTTAAGACAACAATGTAGCTGTAGAGAAGTTTACCATTCTATAATGCTGGATTATATGATATATACAGCTCGGTTCTAGCAATCTAGCTTTCAATTGTCTATGTGAGGCTGTGAGTCCCATATAATATGGTTGGAAATACCGACTATCGGCCGCTCGGAATCATTTTAAGCTGAACTCTACAAAAGGGAGTGGGGTAAGCTGGTAACCTAGACTCAAACGCAAAATTATCAACAAAACAAGGGATGTGTATTAACAAATGCCTCAAACTGACAAACTGTATGGTTATTGTAAATTTGATAATGGCAGAAACTTTAAGATGGTATGCTTGTCCCATATCCTGATAGAGTGTTGTGAAATTTCTTCCTGAATGCCTGCTTAAACTGTCTTACTGTCGAAGATCTGAAGGACTATCAAATTGTGGCAATTGTTTCTTTGACAACTTTTGTCACAAATTTCTTGATACTGAGTTACTGACAGTATCAGGATCTGGAATTAGCTGTACCGAATGTTATTTGTCTGGTGAGCAACATAAGGTAATTCCCTTGTCAAAATGTTTAAAAGATGCTGGCAGTTATGTACTGATGTTCTGAATAAGCAATGTCTGCTATGCAAATTGATCGGTCAATACATCATTTTCGACACACAGCTGACTGAACTTTCATGGTCTAATGATGAACTTTACAAGTTTCATACCCCAAGTTATTTAGGATAATGAGTTTCAGTTGGAGTTGGGAATTATTATACGAAAAATTCCATATAGAATTTTAGAGTAGGCAAGTACTGAGATTAGTGAGATATAAACATTCAGTTCATCAGATCCAAGCATCAAGAACACATATAAGAGTACTGCAGTAAGGACTACAGATAATCAACATTACATTTCATTGAAAATAGATAGAGAGCAGATGATGCCAGCACAAAATGACAATTGAGCAACATTGAAAAAACAAGAAAGAAAAATAAGCATATTGAAATTCAATCCTGACTTTCCCTTCATAATTCATTCAGATAATTCGCGTCCAAGATAATTCATCTGACTAGGAAGTATTCCATCTTCGAATTACTTGTTCAATGCTTTACATATATAGAAACCATGAAACATAACCTCACAAATCGATCTCTGTAACATAACCTCACAAATCGATCTCTGAGATAAATTACAACATACTAGCTCAAATTTCTTGCAATTGGGACATAATCAGGAACACAAAGAACTTCACATTTCATACGGAGTATAGAAATGCATTGTAGAGCAGATGATAATATCTTATAAAAAACGACTAGCATTTAGAAATTACAACAATGTTTAACCTTGACAATTTATCCAAAATTCATTCAGACAATTGGCGGCCAAAATAATTAACTATACTAGGTCCAACATCTAAATTAGGAGTCGTTGCTTTGATTATATAGTGACCTTCAAACTCGATCTCACAAGCTGATGATCTCATTGAAAGATTAAACAATGTTCTACAGAACATATACTCCCTCCATAGTTGATCCTTTTCTCCATCATCATCTTCGAAATTGTCGAGGTTATCAACCATTACATGAAGTTGCTCCAACACATTTGCATTGTTCGAAATGTACTTAACGAACCTTACATCACTCTCATCCCCTGTAAGTTCCGAAATTTCAATATACTTGAGCTTCCTCAACAAACAAACCGGTATTAGAACACTCTCATTCTCAATCTCCTTTGTATATTTTGTCAAGATGAGGCGTGTCAGATTGTGAAAAACCGGCCTCACTTTAGCACTCATATACCGAAAGCAGTTGAATATAGTAAGATCATCATACAACTCAAGGGAGCTTATGCTAGAAATTCCTTGAATAAAGTCTGATAAAACACTCACAGAATCGATTTTGCCTTTACTGGTAGAATGCCGAAAGCTGATGTTTACCTTTTGTAATCTACCTGGATGATTCACAAAGTTGTAACAGGCCAAACTACTGCCAATTACAATGTCTTTCAGCCTAGGTGCATCGATCATAAACCTGCTACGCCGCGATGTTCCAGACATACTTGCCTTAAAGCACTTCAAATTAGGAGCACATATGTCCATGACAAATTCATCATATGGCCAATTTAATATCAAAGTTAATTTTTCCAAAATTGGGCAGGATTTAAGCAATGTGATGATTGTTCTTATGAATGTAGTATTCAGAATAGGAAGATAAATTTCAAGCTTCTTCAAATTGGGAAGAGTAATAATTCGATTTACAGGCAAATTAAAACGAAAATTTCCACGAAACTCAAGTTTGATTAGAGAATGACAATCAAATATGCAAATGGGAAGTGGGATTAAAGATAGATTAGAATCAAATTCCACTTTCACCTCGATTTTTTTGGCATTTTGGCTGCAAACCTGTCGAAACCAGGACTGCAAAAGCGAAGAGCAGAATTCCCTATCATCATCATCACAGTACAATTGAAGTTGGAAGTTGGTGATTTCAGGGGAGGTAATTTGCCGGAGAATGTGATCAACAATGGTTAGGAATTTGTGACGACCACCAGAGTATGGAGTAAAGAATCCCCGTGAGAACTGACAGTAGCGGAGGATGAGACGAGTGGCAAATCGGGACCAGAGACCGCGCCATCGACGAGATAAGATGGAAGTGGTAGCAGCCAAATAAAGGGGAAGGCGAGAGAGAATGTTGCCCAAAAGGAAGTTTGGGAGAGAGCTTAATCTGTCTACTTGGCCGCCGCCGAGGCTGCTGCCGTTGTTAGTGGTATCCTCCTGGTCACATGGATACAATCTTCTCTTCTTGCCATTGTTGACGCTGTTTTCCATTTGTAATTTGTGTTTTTTTTGAGAAATAAACAAGAGAGTGAGAAAAAGGAAGGAGAGTGGATGAATGAGAGATAGAAAGGGTGATGGTTAATTTTGAGTCGAGGGTTGCCCAGGGCGGGATAATGGTAACAGTTTATTTTTTTAGCCGGAAATTATAACTTTTGTGTTGATTTTGGCGGGAAAAAGGTTGCTGCTCTGGCTTATAGTGTCATACTGTCATCAGTGTCAACAGTAGACCTTTGTCATGTTATTATCTTAAGACATAAAGTCCATGCCTACACTTCAACATGTCAGCTGTCAAGGCAAATACTCTTCCCAGTATTTAATTATAAATAGATAAAGTTAAATTATTACATTAAGTTTATATGTGTCGATTACTCTAAAATAAAATAGAGGAAGTAAACACTAAAAATCATAAGCCCATTTTCCATAGGAAATCAACCTTTATGCTATGATATTAAACCTCATAATATTAGTTATTCCATGAGAGTTACAATAACAAGCAAAAGACTGATAAGGGTTACAAGCTCTTTTGGACATGTGTAAAATCTCAAGGCAAAAGCTTACATGAATTACATCCTTCAAAAGATGAGCCGAAACATACAATTCTGGTGTACAAATTAAGACCCCCATAGGCCCCATTCAAGTCGACAAGCAATCGATCCATGCCTATAATCATTGCTCGGTGAATCTACATAACTACCAGAGAACTTAATCTCACAAGTTGAGGATTTCCTAGGAAGCTCAAACAATTCCTTACAAAAGTTCAATTCCCACCAGAGTTCAATTCACTTCCTCCAAGGTATTCAAAGTGGGAACATCAACCAAAATCTCCTCTAAAACTTCTGCATTCGAAAGAATGTAGTTGAGTAACCACATATCATTTTCATCACCCTTAAGATCGTCTAATTTCATCCACTAAACCTTAGCTAACAAACAAGCAGGTATTGAGCATCTGAGTACATCACTTGGTGTAGTGAAGCATGGTTCAAGCAAATCCGTGTCAGATTATGAAAGGTTTTCCAAACATTGGCCACTACATAGTTGATCGGATTGAACATTCTAAGGCCATCCACTAAGTGAATGCTCCCATCACAAGATATCTCTTGAAGAAGTTTCGCTAAGTGGCTAAGATAATTGTTAGAGTTGGTGAGTGCACACCAGGAGCGAAGATGTGTTTGATTGAGAAGTATAAATTGAATTGATAATTTGGCATGATAATTAATATAAATGAACACACGATTTTATGTAACAACGAGCACTTTTATTCCACTATTTGAAAGTAGGAGAGTATAAAAACCCTTGAAGGTTATTATTACAAGAGAACTCTCACTATAAGAAACTCACAAGGAGTATTATGATAGTAGTGGAATATTACAAGGAGGGAGGATATTTTTGTAGAAAGGTTTGTGTTTGGTATGACTTCTTGTGTTGTGTTGTTGTTATGGTTTTTTGTGTGTTGTGTTTTGAGTGCCCTAACCTATATTTATAGGTGTAGATGGAGCTTGGAAGATTTGTGTGAAAACTTCCATATATGTAGATATTTTTAAACTCTCCACATAAATCTAGAATTTTCATTGACATGTAATAATTCTAGATTTTTCTTCAATTTTCCATCCTTCTTGTGTCTATGATATTCTAAAAAATTCAAGTAGGAGATTATTTCGGAAGCTTATACAATATGGACATCCACCAAAATAATGGGCTTATAAAATTTGGGTCATACCCAACAATAATCATTTCCAACCTCTAAAGTAGAACGATCAATATGTAGTTTAGTGTGGAGTAATGTATTTCTATTGCTAACAAAGTGGTAACACGCTAACCAACCACCTAGCGAAACACGTTCCAATTTCGGGGCATCAATCACAACTTCGAAATGTTTCCATTTTCCAGAATTTCCTTTCAAAATCACAACCAAACACTTCAAATTCAGAGCAGATATATTCATAGTATCTGCATTCTCTACCCAAGGCAACTGCAAATCCAAAGACTCCAACGATGGGCAAGATTTAGTAAGTTTACTGATCAAATCAGGAGCAATGTCGACAGAATTTAACACCAGTGATTTTAAATTAGGAAGATCAATAGCTAAACTATCAGAGAACACACAAACAAAAGGTCCCCTTAATTCGAGTTTCGACAAAGTAATACTCTGATAAACACAAAATGGTAAGGGAAATCGAGGCATACCAGTATCAAAAACATCAACCTTAAGTTCATTGGCAAATCTACCGCAAATTAGAGTAATCAACGAAACAATATACCTTTCAGTAGTCTCAAATTCTTCATCCATAAAAGGATGTTCGATACGAAGATTGAAGGTGTTGATCTTCGGGGACGAACATTGGCGGATAATGTGGTCGACGGTGGTGGAGATTTTGGAAAAGTAGTCATCATCAGAAAATAGCGATTCGAAATCGTCGTAGTCGATGTGAAGGTGTGTGACCTGGGTCCAGTAGTAACGCCACCGCCGGGATAAGACGGAGGTGGCAACGGCGGAAGGGATGTCGAGAAGTGAGCGAATGTCGGTGAGAATGGAGTCCGGGAGAGAACTTAATCGGTCTTCATTGTCTGAGTCTCCGCCATTGTTGTCTTTAATGGAGCTCAATTTCAGCCTTTTCGTGCTAATTTCTTGGTGTTCTGCCATTCAACAATTGAGCTCCATTGTTTTCTGAGCTCAATTTCTACCATTCAACAATTGCTGTGATTCTGAAGTGAATTCGAGTAATGCTAATTTGGGGAATTTTTTAGGGTTTTAATTAGTGTAACTATGTAAGAAGTGAAACAAAGAAAAAAAATAGGGGGTGTTTTAGGGCAATTTCACATGTTAATTATTTTGAGTACTTTATTAAGTGTTTCATTGAGAGTAGAGATTTCAAAACCCCATCCAAATGATCCGACCCAAATTTAACAAGTTGTGCTCTGTCTTTTGGATTTTTTTTTTTTTTTTTTTAATTTTTTTTCCCGTCTCTACTCATAATTTCCTTATGTCTCCTCTATCATCGTGAATAACTTGCTATGAGTAACTACAAATTTAAAATCAACTTGCCATTAATAGGGGTGGCAATTCGGGTTAGCAGGTCGGATTCGGGTCAAATTCCGGGTTGTAATTAGAAACTATAAAAAATAGTGTAAAACTTAATATTATTACGAAATATGAAATTTGGGTCAAATCGGGTCAAATTTGGGTTGATCAGGTTCGGGAATCTCTCAGTAACTTCGAGTCGGGTTCGGGTCGGTTCAGAGATTGCCAGCCCTAGCCATTAATGAACCATTTTGAGCAAATACGACATTGAAATTTGAGAGAACCATAGATAGGTTTTTTTCTTGATTACATAAATTGAATACTCCCTCCGTCCCATAATATATTTCCTGTTTTCCAATTTTGGAGACCCAAAATGTTGTTTTTATTTCTATTTTTGGATAGTATGTAAAGACCATTATATCCTCATTTTTTTAACTTTATTCATTATACTTCCTAAATTAACCTTGAATTTTGCACATGCTTTGTACTTTTTTCAACTTTCTCTCTCTATCTTTTGTCTATAATTGTACTTTTCACTTTTATTAATGTACTTTTTCCATTTTCTCCTCTTATTTCTTAAATACCATGAAAAAACACAAATAGGAACTATATTACGGGACGAAGGGTGTAGAATTTATTGGTTTTGTATATGTTTGATTGATGATGCCATATTTGAGGTTGAGTTTAATCGCAATTTTTCTGGAAAATATCAAAAAAATTCCTAGTTGAAGAAAGAAAATTGAGTGAAAAGAGTAAATGTTTTTTCTCTTTATTTTTTCTTGAAAAATCAGCATAATTTGCAAGCATGATGGTTGGAGGTGCTCAAGTGGTACATGTGAATTATTGATGTACAATAAAATACTGTACACCTGGGCATACAAAAGGTTTTGTTAGAAGTGAGGAATAAAATGCCTTTCATTATCCTTAACAATAACGACCAAACTAACAAATAATTTTTTTTCTTCCTAAATTTAACATTCCAAAAAAAAAAGACTTTGTTTTTTTAGCTACATCACTTTACAAATTGCAGATTTTTAGGCAATTTTTGAAGATGGGAGAAATAAATAGGAGGAAAAAATGGACTCATGTGATAAGTGAGAGATATAGAGAGTTTGTTAATTATAAAGAAAAATGATGTAACTAATTTAAAACTTCCGTTTTAAGAAAATAATGCAATTAAAAAAGAATAGAGGAAGTAGAATAATATATTAGGTTTGAGGAGCGAATCAAGGAGACATCAATCAACTAAATCAAAGTTTCCTAATTGATGAAGATGTCGATCAACATTGTCATCATACCGACACTATCGAGATTTTTCCGCAATTACCTACATTAGATTTGCTACAAGTAGAATAATATCTCTTACTTTGCACTTTGTTCTTTAATTTATTATTATTATCATTATTATTGTTCGATTATTTTATTGCGTTTAACTTGTCATGTTGGAGATTGTGTTTATTTTCTTTATGCAGATTTAATTATCTAACCCCTTGATTCTAAAAGAAAATTTAAGAATCCTTTATGTGATTTGCCCAGAATAGTCATATTAGTCTTATTTGATTCGTCTCAATGATTCATTTATCACAAATAAGTATTTAACTATTAATATTTTTTTATTAATATGCAACTACTATTGATATTTTGAGGTAGTATTATTCTTGTACTCATTCATGCAATAACCTCAACTTTATTTCTCCATTTGTTTGTTTGTTTGTTTTTTTTCCCTTCTATTTTTTCCCTTCTAATTATTCATTTGTAAATTGTGTGATTTTCAATATACACTTTAATCATTATCTCTACTTTTAAAAAGTTTGAGATAACTCTTATGAATAGTATTTGGATAATTATATTCTCTAAAATATTTATTTACTTATTTTCCCTCATTAATGTCAATTGTTTTTTTTATATTTTTCTTATTTATAACTTTTAGGAATAGTTTACAAGTATTTACACCCCTTAAATTATTTGTTTACATATTTTCTCTCATTAATGCTATCAACAATTAAAGTTGTGATATAATATAAGGCCAAACAAATTTTTTTCAAACATCGCTAGATATATCAAGTGCATCGCGTGCGTTAGTCGCCCTAATTATTTTAAATGTAAGAATTGATGTTATTATGAAAATAAATATTTTATTAATCTAATAGTAATCCACATGATAATCTATGCTATATACTAAAGTAAAACCTTTTGGAGGGAATTTTCCCTCCTATTGTTTTTTTTTTTTTGTTGATTTAGTTTTACTTAAATTGAAGATAAAAGAATAATTTATATTTCTAGGAAGCACGGTAACAGTTCACTATATTGTTCATCTACTAATTCTTTGCCCGAGGCCTTGAGTAATTACTCGGATATTCATTGAAAAAAATTATTTTTATAAATTACTCTAAGTTTGTATTTGTTTATTTGTTTTGTATACATTTAAATATCTATTTACATTATCAAATTATTATAGATGAGACAAGTTAATATATAGTATCTCTATTTTGTAGTTAATGCGTTCATAAAATTGTGTATGTGTCACGTGTATCCCTTCTTACACCACTATCACGCCACATCATCATTCAACAACCTTCATGCCACATCATCATTCAATGATCTAAATTAAAAATACATACAAAGAGATTTGAACCCCAAACCTCATTGAATAAAAACCACATGTATTACCATGTTAGCTAGAATTAATTTTGTAATCCACATTTATATATAAATACATACAAGTATTGTAATTTAGAATAAAAAAAAAATCAAAAATGAGTTATTATTGTCATTGTATCATTATATTGATTAGCGAATGAAGATTCAAGAGAATATTAAATAATTTCTAATCTTAATATACAATTAAATTTTTTTTAGTTTGGTGACTTCAATTTATTTGCAAAACAATAAATTTCAGTTGAATTGATTCAAAAATTTGAAGGGTAAAAAAATTATTAATTTACTATAACTATATTCATTATTTTTAATCAATTTTAATTAGTTAATCTTACTTTTATTATTTATTTATAAAGCAAAGAAAATATATTTTAATTATTTTAAATTTGTTGTTGTTGTTGTTGTTGTTGTTGTTGTTGATGTTATTTATCTATTTATTTTATTTTTAGGTTTATAAACTTATGAGTTGTATCAATTTTTTTCTTGTAATCTTTGATGCAAATGCAAATGCAAATGGAGTAAACAATTCAAATAAGAAAACCAATCATGAATGGAGCAAGTATTATCTACAAAGTACATTCTAAAGTAAACTTATACTAGTCACAAATTTGTTGTAGTTATTGTTGTTCCGGATAAGACCCGACAATCTGTATATGAGATTTGTGATGACCTTATCGTCCAACTGAGCCTCTACACAGAAAATAAGGATTAGCTAACCCCGGGGTGAATCCGGGGATAAACACTCCGATGGTAAATTCAAGAAGAAGGAGAAGAAGAAGAGAAGATATCAAGAGAGTAATTAAGAGGATTAGAAAGAGAGAGAGAGAGAGAGAGAGTAAATAAAAAATGTCCTTTCTTTATGAAGACCCAACTTTCCTATTTATAGACGACCCACCTGCCAGGTGGCTGCATGCCATGCACTTAACATTCGTGCCAAGTGTTGATCGCCTGACGCCACGTGTTGCTCATTAGACGCCCGCTGGATGTGCCGTTATGGGAATTTGCCGATATATTCATTATGACTTGTAATAGGAGTCCGTTGAGTCTGTGAGAAAGGTTGATATCGGCATTTATTTATCTGTTATCGGTATCTTCCTATACAACTAGCCCCCCAAGTGAGGACATCGATGTTCTCACTTTTTACCGCAGGCAACGATTTCAATTACATGATAGCAGGGGTTTTTTTTTTTTTTTTAGATTAAGCCTTTATATGAATTTTTTCCTTCCTCCCTTTGGAAGATTAAGCTAGATTTCCGTTGATTTCAGGTATTTCTAGTTCAAGAGATTGAGTTCCCGCTTGAACTCAACCATTCCAACCTTAGGGGATTAAGAACTCAATCATCTCAACCTTACGAGACTGAGTACTTTAACTCAGTCATCTCAATCTTAACAGAGTGAGTTCTTGAAGCAAGAGAAAAGAAATTCCGATTTGCCCCTAAGTTGAGCTTATATGCTGAGTGCAGATAAGACTCAATTTAATATTAAGCTGGGAGCAAAAAATTTCCGATTTTCCCCCCAAGTAAGTGTTATTTATCCGAGAAGAATATCAATCGTCGTTTATTCTTAAACAATTAAGTGTTTAATTTTTTTAGGTCGGAAGTTTGACTAGTCCTAGGACACGTGTCATTAATCGAAACGTACAATTTTGGAATTTGCTAAAATATCTCAGCCGCTGGATTTCTGATCAACCCATCACATCAACCGTCACTTTTTAGGCACCATACATTCAGTTTTTTCTTTCCTTTTTCATTTTCATCTTCTAAAAAACCTTTTCGGAGTCACACTTAGGCTAATTCGGAGCATTTCTCTATAAGACTAATAGCGGTCATTCAGCATTCCGAAGCACAGCAAGGATTTGAAGTACGACACCTTGTCACTTTTAAGCGTGTTCATTGTTTGGAACTTTCAAAGGTATTCACGAACCCTAGCTTTAATTTTGCATGTTTTTTATTTTTGCGATTTTA